GCCGTACATCTGTGCTGCTTTTCGCCTTGGTGTGCGATCCTTTGAGAGGATTAATGGATAAGTTTTCATAGGGGGGGCGGAAGAGGGGCCCCTAGACACCATAAAAGGGGTGATGTGGGTTGTAAAGAACCTGAAAAGAAAAAAATCAAGTTTAAAGAAGATAGATGGGTGTCCAGGTACGGCTGAGCCGTATTTGTGGACTTTATCCTTGATATGCCTCTGTTGCCGCCCATGGTATTTTGATTGCATCATTATAAGCACGTGGTACATACGCCGCTGTTTGGTTGGGGTGAAGATAGAGGCCGGATTGCTAATCGAGCTCTGACGAGTTGGACTATCATTTTGTGGGGTAGGCCGGACTCGCTTGACAGAGTCCGGTGGCTTGACTACCGATGTGGAGCTCGGGTTGATAAGGCCGACCTGTACTTTTGCTGCAAGGGCCGCGGTGTGTTCCTCGGTGCGGAGAGAGCAATCCATGTTTCCGTGGACTGTTATAACACCGCATGGTCCTAGCATTTTGAGTTTTAGATAAGCATAATGTGGGACCGCGTTGAAGCGGGCGAACGCAGTTCATCCGAGCAGTGCGTGATAGCCACTGCGGAAAGGGACGATGTCGAAGATCAAGTCTTTGTTTCGGAAATTGTCCGGTGAACCGAATACGACCTCCAATGTGATTGAGCCCGTGCAGCGGGCCTCCACACCAAGTATTACTCCTTTAAAGGTAGTTTTGGTGGGTTTGATTCTTGACAAGTCAATACCCATTTTCCGGATTGTGTCCTGATAGAGCAGATTAAGACTGCTGTCGCCGTCCATGAGGACTCTAGTAAGGTGGAATCCATCGATAATTGGGTCGAGGACCAATGCGGCTGAACCTCCATGGCAGATACTGGTCGGATGGTCCCTGCGATCAAAGGTGATCGGGCATGCCGACCATGGGTTGAATTTTGGGGCGACTGGCTCTATCGCATAGACGTCCATTAACGCGCGCTTGCGCTCCTGTTTGGGGATGTG